GAGCGTTGGGGAAGCATAAGGTTCGATGAATTCCCTATTTCAATATTGTATGGTATCATGACTTTTTTTTTCTCCCCACTTGTTACGAAAATGCAATCGTCAAGTTCAGCTGCTCCTAAGAAGATTTTAGACTCGGATTCTTCAAGCGATGAGGAAGAGGAAGAGAGCGAGAGCGAGAGCAATGATGAACAGCCATTGAATAAGGCGGTAAACAGTAATAGTACAATGCCAGGAAGAGGGGTTGGTTATTACCCGAATCCATCGAGTTCGTTACGATCCGATGATTATGATATGCGTGGAAATGGTGCGCCAGTTCAGCCTGGTAATCCACAGATGCAATTGTTCTCCCACAGACTAACATTGCTGCTGCATTGTCCATTATCAAGCCATCAAAATACGCACCAGCATACAATCATCGCTATTCCTCTCCTCCTCCTCCTCCTCCCCCGCATTCTAACTCGAGATATGGAGGCTTCCTGCCAATCGGTTTGCACCAGTTCTTTATCGAGATGAAACTCTTCCATACGATGTTCAATACGAAGCACGAGCAAATGTCAATACACTGATTCCTCCTGCCCCACCAGCGGCTGTCGATCCATCACTTAAACCCATTCCAATACTGTAACCGTATTTCCTACACCCCTAATAACAAATAAACCGTTTCTGAATGTTCTTCAGTTCCTAACCCTAGTTTTATTTAACTATCGATACTGATTCTTGAATCAATTGTTCTGATACAAATCACGTAAATTCTTGATTATACCTCATTGTTCGATTAGTTATAAAAGACGAGGTATTTTGCCCTTCGCCAGCGACAATTAACGTCATATTTCTTTTCTCAAGAGTTGACAACTTTCGTTGTTCTTTCGGATCGTATCTGATGTTTTTAAGCCAGAACTGTTGCTTGGCCATTTCATACCATAGGCCATATCTCTAGCGTTTTCACTTGTCAAATCGATTGGTGATTGCGGCGGAGCTTGGGGAGGAGATGCATTTAGAATATGGTGTTGTATAAACAGTTAGTTAGCTTCGTATTTCCTTTGATTGGTTCAACGTTGAAAAAGGTAAAGCGTACCATGTTCATGTTCTGACCCAAATCGCAATACCCAATTCGAAATAGGCATATTGTTTAAATAATCACACCAATAAGCGACAACTAATCAACATTGTTTACGTGGTGTTATCGAAATAAATTGTGCTTATTTCGAATTGGCGATTTCGAAGGTATGTCATTTTCTTAGCAACAAAGACTTCTGTATGGTATAATTTATGTTTGGTTAGATTAGATTGCCGTCGTATATTTAGGTCTTTTATATGTGAAGGATCTTCTTGCCTAGATGCTCCCCTCTGAAACCTATCACCTCCGATTCACGTTGCTGTCATTTCTATTAACTTCGCTGTCGTTTATTTTTGTCACCCAAATAATAGAGAACAAAAGCTTTACATTACGATTTTTCGTTGAGGCGTATGAACTATAAAAAGAAGCCTCATACAGACGATATGATTATAGATAGATAAATTATTCGGCCATCCCTTAAAGAGCAAACAATGTCGCTGATCAGCTGACAGACTGCTATCAAACAAACGCACAAGGGGGGAGAAAAAAAAAGTCATGATACCATACAATATTGAAATAGGGAATTCATCGAACCTTATGCTTCCCCAACGCTC